TGCCATGTCTGGCGAATCCAGAACCCCTCATCCAAGAGTCCACCATCCCCTGTCATCCTCAGGCAAGACATCCCTGTCCTCAGACCTCCCCAGGCCTTGCTGGTGGAAAGATGGAGTCTGAATTGTTTCTCCCTGGCTCCCCATCTTCTCACCACTAATGGACCAGAGCTGAAGGAGAGCCACCCCATGTCTTTACTCCCAGGCAGAAGCCCATTCCTCCTGGAGAATCTACTCTATAACAAAAAGGTCTTGTTCCCAGGGAGCTCAAAGGTAAGGTCAATAGAAGCCATGCCTGGAAAGAAGCAGGTGGGAAGATGTGGAAGCTGGGATGGCTGGGGGTAGTCATGAGCGCCTCCTGTATCCCCTGCTTCCTACCTTCCTGTCCAGGTAAGGACAGCCTCGGATGGCAGAGACAGGTTCAAGTACAAGAGGAGACTGTGCATATCAGGCACCACACCCACCCGAGACCTCATGGATCCTGTATGTCCCAGTCACCTGCAGCTGGTGGGTCACCAGGACAATGGTCTTCCCCCGGAGCATCTTCTTAATGCACTCCTCAAAGATTTGCTTCCCCACATGGGCATCCACAGCTGACAGAGGGTCGTCCAGCAGGTAGAGCTGGCGGTTAGAGTAGACAGCACGGGCCAAGTTGATCCTCTGCCTCTGTCCCCCTGAGAGGTTGAGGCCCCGCTCTCCAACCTGTAGATAGGAGCAACACTGATGCCCACCCCTAAACCCCACCCGCCCTCCCCACCCTGCAGTTCAGGAGCTTCCTAAAGCTTCTCAGGATTCAGGGGAAAGGCACACAGGCTGATCGTCACCATGGCCAAGCTCCCCAACCCCTTACAGGGACCCCTGAGCACACTAGACTCTCTGGTGAGTGGAAGAGCTCCACTTTCTCCTTCTCCAGGAAGCTGATGAGCAGTGGCTATGAGGGAGAAGCTCTTTCCAATGCTGAGTGAGAGGTGTCTGCCTCACAACACCCCCTCCCAGGGCATATCCTACCAGGAACGGCTATGTCTTAACCATTAACACCATTTTGAACAGAAAGCTCTGGGAGGATGGACCAGTGAGCAAGATGGAGGGTGTGCCGGGAGCATTTGGAAAAAGGAACTGCTCTTTATTGGTTTCCTCGTGGAACAATTCTCTGCTCTCTGGGGAGGAGGGGAGGTCCATCTTGTTCATCATCATACCCCTCAAGCCTGGCACCAGGCCTGGCACAGAGTAGGTTCTCAGTACATACATTTTTTTTCCCCAGCAACTCATATTTATTATCGAAATCATATCTGATGTCAACAAGATGCCACAATTACAAACAAAAAAAATTGCATACATTGCAATCTCAATGCAAACAGTCAAATGGAACCCCAATCATTAAAAAAGTAATTCAAATTACCCCAAAAAGCAACTGAATTTTTTAAACATCTTTATATATCCAGCCAACAAATTAAAACTGTTAACAAGAAAAAATACAAATTCAGAGATCTGGTCTCAATGTTTTAAAAAGGCAACTGCTTAATCATTCCTATCAATTTGAACATCAATCTCTCGACCACTCAGCTTCATGCCGTTCATCATCCAGCAAGCTCTCTCTGCCACCTCTGGTGACTCAGACTTAACTACATCGGCACCCCTTGGACTTCCCATTCTCCATCTTGATATGGGCGTATAGCACATGGCTGCACTCATTGAATTTGTCCTTTAGCATCTTCCGTGTAAAATCAAATGTGAGGTTTCTTGCAAATACTTGGCAGGCCTTCCTGGCTATCCCAGGAGCATGGCCTCCAGCTCCTCTGAAGGAACTTGTGAAACTTACTCCAAAGTTGCCACGCTCCATCTCGACAACACAATCAAAGCTGGCACCACCTCCAGCACCAATTTCCAGGCCCATTTGCTCAATGCCTGTGCCCAGGGCCGGGCCCATGGCAGGGCCCATGAGCTCCAGGCTGTTGGTGCCCATGTGCTCCAGGCCCATATGCTCGAAACTGTTGGTACTCAGTAGCTCCAGGCCCATGCACTCCAGGTTGTTGGTGCCCATGTGCTCCAGGCCAGTGGCCATCTGATCCATCACAGGGCCCATGTGCTCCAGGCCAGCCCCCATGCCTGCGGGTGCCATGCACTCCATGCTCAGACCCATGCGCTCAAAGGCAGGGCCCATGTGCTCCATGCCAGAGCCCATGTGATCAATGATCTGGCCCACACAGACAATGGGTGGAGCCATGCACTGCAGGCCGAAGCCCATGCTGGCACCCATGCGTTCCACACCAGAGCTGATGTGCTCCATGGTCTGGCCCATGCACTGAATGATGGAGGCCATATGGTCACGGACCAGTCAGCCCAGATGCTAGATACCGGAGCCCATACGCTCCACTGAGCCTATACGGTCCATGACCACCCATGTGTTCAATCTCGGAGCCCACACGAGCCATGCCATGGCCCAGGCCTGCATCCATGTGCTCCATGCCAGCACCGCCAATGCAGTCAATGCCGGGGCCCATCCTCTCAGTCCTGGAGACATTGCCTCCACCTCCTCCCTGCTTTGCAATGATCTCTCCTCTCTTCAGTGCATTACTTAGGATTTCATTTATTCTCTCCATGTTCATCCCAGATCCAAATCAATCTATGTTTTCCGTACCACCACCAAAGGGCCCCGCCACGCCTCCCGTTTTATTTATTCCAAATCCTGTGCCTTCCATTCCCATTCCTGCAGGCTTTATGTTTCCCATTCCAATGCCTTTATTCAGGTGATTGGCATCAATAGGTTGACCTCCTGGTTCTAACCCCATGCCAGTACCACCAAGTCCATGAGGAAGTTGTCACGGACGCTCAGGAGGGAAAAAAATCTCCCTTCGGTAAGGCCCTCTCATCCATTTTGACATGCATTGGTCTATCAAATAGCAGTTGGCCATTAAACATAGATATAGCTTGCACAGCTTCAATGGATTGTTGAAAAGTAACAGTGCCTATTCCACAATTTTTTCCATCTTTAACTTCAAGAATGTCTGCTCGGACCACCACACCAGCCATACTAAATACTTCCTTCAGTTTCTTCCAGCCAACTTCATAATCCAGATTTGCCACAAATACTGTGCTTCCAAGCCTTCCAGCTTTTTGCATTGCTCTCCTGGCATGTTCGCCATCAGGATCTTCTTTGACTTTCAATGGTCTTCCACTCAGACTACGCTTGTTCAGAACTTCAGCAGCTTTTTTCATGCTCTCTTCCATCTTGAATTCAACAACAGCACATCCCCTCGACTTTCCTTCAGCATCCATTAAGAGCTCCACGTATGTTACCTCGCCAGCTTTTTCTTTAGCCAGGTCTTTAAGTGATTGCCATTTCACATCAGAAGGTATGTTTGTAATGAAGGCTCTGTATCGCTTAGTCGGATTGGCATACGGCTCAAAGCGATCGCCCCCTCTTTTTATGTTTTTCTCCTTCCTCTTCTCATTCTGAGCAGGTCATTCTCCTTCATCCTTCGGGCCCAGAGCCCCATGGCCGCTCAGCACACCAGGCGTGCCACGCTCCTCCTCCATTTTGGGCTCTGTTGCTGCCACCTCAGCCGCAGCTTCAACCCCCCTGCTGCCATTTTCTCCATATCTCAGTACACACTTACTGAAAGGATGAAAAGGTGAAGTTGCCTACTTCAAGTGATTCTATCCAACTTCCGCCAGGTGTCGAGCTGGGCTCTGTGAGTGGGATTAAGGCTAGACAAAGTCCCCTATCTCCTGGGAGCACACATGCCATCAGGGAGCTTGCTATACATATAATAATGGCACAAAATGGAATCCAACAAGTGCCACCTGGAATCCAACAAGTGCCATGCACTTTGGGGCAAATTTCTTCATACTGTGAGAGTGAGATCTGGGTTGGAACTCAAAGGGTGGTCACTATAAACAGAAACTTAGACACTAGCAAGTGAGCGGGCACTGTGGTGGGCAGGTAGGAGCAGGTCAAAGCACAATGTGGAATACAGGGCTGGACTGCAGGTAAGGAGGTCTTGAATGCCAGGCAGCAAAGGCTGTGGCCATTCCTGGACACAGGCACATCAACGGCACCAAAAGAGAAAGACAATGTGGGTCCTGAACTGGCTTTTCTCCTCCCTTCCAGGTTCCTGGGCCAAGTGGGAAAGACCAAGCAGGAAATGCAAGTGGAATGGGGAGAGAGGATGATGGCAAGGTCCTCAGTCCAGCACCAAGCCAATGCTTTGGACAAGCACCCCAGAGGCAATGTCTGGAGGTGACCCCTATTCTCCTAAGCTAGGTAGATCCAGTGAGGCAAGAAGGGACCCTTGGGACCACAATTCTGTGCAGTTCCCCTAGACCTCTGCTTTGAAGGACAGAGCCAGCCATTAAGGCAAGAAGGTAGTCTTCACCAGAATCCTCTCCTGAGATGCCACTCAGATTGGGTGTGTTTCCAGGAAGTGGTCACACCAAACCAAACACAAGTGGGCTTGGTGCCAAGTCCATTATGATGCCCACCAAATACAGACCCAGACGGAGAACCCAGGATGGGTAGAACCTGAACTTGACCTGCATTTCCTGGAGTATTAGGATGTGAAGCCGGGCCCTTGGGACCAAGGAAACAGGCAGTCTTGCAGCTGTGGTGGGGTCAAGCTGCACTGTACTTACCTCAGTCAAGTCTCCATAAGGGAGGCTGCTCAAGTCCTTTCGAAGGCCACAAACACGAACTGTGTGCTGATACCTGTGAGTGCCAATGTCAGAAGTCAGCACAGTGACAGCATTTATCATCTAATTCCTCAAGCCTGGCACCCATGCCAAACAGAATAGATGCTCAACTAATGTAAATTTGTTGCATTACCCCGGCTGGTTCTGAGGGTGCTATTGGTGTCACTGGAGCAAGATGAAGAGACTCCCTGACCAGATGCTCTGCCTTTGATGCCCTTGGGTCCACCCAGACCTTCCCAGATACAGAATTGACTTAGGGATAGGCCCTTCCATTACAGGGTTTCTGCCATGCAGAGAAGATGGCAACAGTGTACCTGAAACCATTGAAGGGAACTCAGGCTGCCAACTGCCGGCACTGCCCCTGGGAATCAGAGAAGGGAATAAGCCACGTAGTGAGATCACGGAGACAGCTTCCCCTGGCAAGAGGTGCAGGGCTTTAGAGGAGCATGAATGAAAGAGAAGATGTGTGAGGCTAATGGCATAAGGCTGGGAGATTACTAATGGCAATGATCATGCCATCTGCTGAGCATGTCTATTCCTAATTGCTCCTACCAGGTTGGATAGAATAAGGTTTTCTCCCCCTGGGACAACTGAAGACACCAAAGCACAGAGAATGACACTGAAAGGGGCAAGAGGCTGAGTGGGATCAGGACTCCAGCTCTTGGATTCTCACCCTCTCTGTTTGCTCCTCAGCATCGCCCACTGTCAAGGGTCAGAGTCCAGTCTTTGGGGACTTTGTTGGGTGAGGCCCTGAGTAACTCTGCACCAGCCACGCTGCTACAACTCCTACTTCATATTGGAAAGGATGGCAATGTTGAGGGCTCAGCTCCATGGCAGCCCATGGCCCAAGTCTGCCCAGCTCTAGGAAGAACCCATCTGTTAGGGACTTCTGGCACTGAGAGATCTGGGAAGGTCTGCACTTAGGAGGATGTCCAGAGAAACCCACACCCTCCTCTCTCAGTGTTCTCTACACCCAATCCCATTCAGCCCACCATAAACAGAATCTTCCCGGGGCAACTCCGCACTCTTCATGGCTGCCTCAGGAACAGCTCCTGCTCTGGTGGGTGGTGCACCTGGCAGCAGCAGTTCAGGCTGGTGTCCCATCCCAGCAGCTATGGGCCTCCACAGGGGCTGGTCAATTGATTAATATCACTAGCATCATCATCATCAGAATCCTCTTTCCTCAATGCATGACAAAGGGCAAGCCTCACAACTCATGCTTTGCAATTAACACCTTACTAGTAAAGGGACAGCAGCAGGGGCCAGAGTAGGCAGGGTATGGGCAACTGCCCTTCAGATGACACATGGGCCCCTGACAAAACAGGGCAGCATTGAGCATCCTACCCAGATACCAGTTTTAGAGCTGGAGTGCATAACGATTAAGACCGGGGGCTTTGAAATCAGAACCATCTGGGTTTGAATCCAGCCGGGTGACCTTATCATGAACAAGTGACTGTAACTCCCTGATCCTCACTCCCCACTCCATAAAACTGGGCTAATGACTCTCATCGGTTTGTGAGAATGAAGGGGGAAACCTATGTAAACCATTGTTTGTTTATTTGTTTTTTGAGAAGTTTTCGCTATAGGGCGCATGCGCTCGCCAGAGAGACAGAGACATAGAGACAGAAAGCGAGAAATCACCCCCCAGAGGGGATGGTCACGCCGCAATCCCTCCTCCTCCATTCTCCTCTCAGGATCTTGGGCACGCATGCACACGCGCCCAGCGTGAGTTTTAAGCCACCGGGTCCGGGACGCGAACCACGGTCGACTACGTGGGAGTCCAGCGACATAGCCATTACGCTAACTGCTGGTTCCCTGTAAACCATTATTAAGCACAATGTTGGGTGCTAATTCTTCACCGGTGGGAGTTATCGTTAAAAGTGTTGCCCTTGCCGCTCTTTGACTACCAGACTCAGACTGCTCAGCACATCTTCATCCCCTTGCCATCTTTAATTTTTCCCCACTTCTTGCTTTCTGTGGCCCTACAAGCCACTGTTGCCACCCTTGGAGAAAAACCTCTGCTGAAGGTGCCATAAGAAGGGAGCTCGATCCACCCTTCTAGGCTCTTCCCTGACCACCTCCCCCCTCCCCCACCCCTTGCAGTCTTTGCTGCCTCTGAACAGTCCAACCCCAGTCTTCTGCCATTTGGCACATTCCTCCTCCGTGCACTGTTATTTCTGTGCATCTCTTACAGCCCTTCCAGCCTTGAGCACCTTGAGGATAAAGACATGAGGGTACTTCAGGGGGAAAAAGCAAAAAGTGAAATTAAAAGCAAAAGTTTATTCTGGTGCAAAACTTTGTGACATTCATGCAGTTTTGTTCATAGTACCCATTTTTCATGAACTTTTTGAAGGCGCCACATAATCTGAGTCCTCCACAGTGTCCTGCATATTGCAAGCATTTGGTAAATTTTTGCCCCCTGAACATCCTAACTGATAAATAAAGCAACCCCCCCTTCCAGGCTGCTTCCACGCATGGGAAGAGAAGGCCTTCTGGGGGGTAAGGGGAGGCACTGGCAGAGGCATCCAGGGCCAAGAGACACTGAACAGAGCAGATGGGTCAGTGCTAAGGGCTCCTTCACTGATCAGACCTTCCTGCTGCACCTGAGCTTCCTGGTATGGAATGTCAAGGCCAAGGAAGAGGAGGTGAGGTAATGGCCCTCTTGCTGAGAACCCACATGCCGACCAATGCCGGCCAGCAGGGACAGAGTCTGAGTTCAGATAAGATGAAAAAGCCCAAATAGCCATAGGACAGTTGACAGCAGATTCCTAAGATCAACTCCATTTCTCTTTCCTTAGTACTGTGGTGCTTGGGAGGTTCTGGGTGACCCAGCTGTCAGGCAGCTCCAGTGGGAACAAATGATGCTAGTTTAGAGAGTTCAAGACATCAGTACGAGATCTAAGTTTGCAATCAAATAGTTTTAACCATGGGCTGGTTAACTCATCTCTCTAGGTCTCAGCTTATTCATTTGTAAAATGAGGATAGAATGCCAAGAACCTCTACACCCCCCAAGAAAGAAAATGGGTGATTATGAGAAAATACACATCATAGCACACCAGTCTTGGCAAAGAAGGATAAGAAACTACTGCTTTCCAGATCTTAAAGATGACAGCCCGAAGTGCATCAAATAATTATGGCCGGACTTTGTTTTTAATTCATTAAATAATTTTGAGGACACTAACAGTCATCTAGCCTAATAGCTCTGATGTCTCATACTGTCAGGGCTGATTAATTGCATACTTGCTACTTACAATTTCAAGCAAAGTTTTGGTTACTCAGCCCAAAATGAAATTGCCAGATTCATTTTCTCTCCAGCCAGATAACATATGCCCTGTTACAGAGAACCTCAGAACATATGCTACTCTGCCCTGGGAATGAAGTGCCGATTCTACCCTCTTCTCAGTTTGTGGTTGCAGGTCTGCAGAAGGTGCCTCTTCTGAACTCTTGGGTCAGGAAGAGCAAAAACAACGCCCATGTGGGTCTGATGGATGTTTAATCAGAACTCATTAAGGAAACCCACTTAGCAAGCATTACCAAAAGCACCAGCATCTACAGCAGCGTGTACAAAAGACTCGCGTGCCTCACACTGTAAAAGTCAATATTACCAGGACCAGCAGATGGCATAATGATTATATCGCTGGACTCCCACATAGTCGACCATGGTTCAAGTCCTAGATAAGGAGGCTTAAACCTTACAACAGGTGTATGTGCATGCATTCCCAAAATCCCAAGAGGAGAATGGAGGAGAAGGGATTACAGCCTGGCCAGTCCCCCTGGGGAGTGATTTCTCACTTTCTGTCACTCTGGTGAGTGCACATACCCTACAGCAAAAATCTCTCTCAAAATAAATTAAAAAAAAAAAAAAAGTTGGGACCAGCAGTTGGCGTAATGGCTATGTTGCTGGACTCCCCTGTAGTCAGCCGCGGTTCAAGTCCCAGACCCAGTGGCTTATACACGCGCCAGGTGTGTGTGCGTGCATGCCCAAGATCCAGAAAGGAGAATGGAGAAGAAGGGATTGTGGCGTGGCCATACCCCTGGGGGGTGATTTCTCACTTTCTGTCTCTCTGTCTCTCTCTGTCTGCCTGGTGAGCACACGTGCCCTTCTCTGCCCGGGTAGCACGTGGGCCCTAAAGAAAAACCCTCTCCAAAAAAAAAAAAAGTTAATATTACCTTTGGTGATCATACTGTTCTCCAAATAAAATGTTTTCTCTCACATTTCCATGAAAGATCCATGCTTGCTGAGAGACATAGGCCAGAGTTCCATTGACTGCCACCACTCCTTTCTGTAACTGCATCTGAAGCGACAGTACCAGAGAACTTTCAGAAGCCTAATGCCAGGACTTTTCCTTGAATATCCTTTGCATCCTGCCACCTACTAATTGCTTGAGCATTGATTATGAAGGTGCAAGAGGGTCAGCCATACACCACGAAGCTCCCCTGTGCAAATGGAGGATCTTAAAGTCAAATATCTGCAAAGGTCCAGGAACAGTTAAGGAAGAGACAGTTGTGAGTTCTACAAATTAGAAAGCAGCACGAGACTGCTTTAGCACATGTGGCACATGAAACAAGACTCCCTTATAAACAGGTCAGTCACAAGAGGCTCCCCTTCCTCCAGGGGCACTGAATGAATCCACTCCCTAACCAGATGCCTGAGAGCAGGGCACAGTCAACACTGCTTTGGATGGTGGCCTTGACATACCCTGTCTTGTAAAAGAAGCCTCATTCATTTGGGATGCAACCTGGAAACCATGGCAAGATAGAGACCTGTCAAATACAGTAAAAGGCTTGTCCATTTCCCCTTGGGTTGCATAGCTAGAAGTGACAGAGAACAGACAAGAACTCAGGATCTCCCTGTGGCTATCACAGGTTTGCAGGGATGCTAGAAACAAGCTGCTGCTTTCGTTCATGCA